ACTGCCATGATCTATGCTGTGGAATATGTTTCATGGATCATATACTACATGGCCTTTGTGTCTGGCTTACTTCTCTTAGCAAGGTTCTTTCAAGGTTCCTCCATGTTGTCACATGTGTCAATACTTTGTTCTTTTTATTTTTTATTTTTCTGAGACAGGGTCTCGCTGTGCGGTTCAGGCTGACCTTGAACTAGAAGTGATCCTTACTCAGCCTCCTGAGTAAGGCATGCGTCACCACACCCAGCTCTTTTCTGCCATTCTGTGAGTTATCTTTTCATTGTCTTACAGTGTCCTTTGTGGCCCAGTTTTTTTCAATTTTAATTTTACAAAGTTCAGTTTGTTGTTACTGTTTGTACTTCTGGTCTGAGGAATTTTAAATGAAGGAGTTACAGAATTGCACCTAGGATTGAGAAAGATTACTTTTGCCACAGGTGAGAAAGAATGAAAGAGTGAAGAGGAAAGAGGATAAAGGTTAGACAGACATTTAGATATTAAACAATTAGGAGTTAGGCTCTGTATGTTTGATAGCTGATTTGATGTTGGGGTTTGTGGGAAAGAAACGTTTTAGTCCACTCACAAATCCTCAGTTTGTGTAGTTGCATTTGTAGTTGTGTTCCCTAAGAGGGAACGTAGGACCTGGAGCAGCTTGTTGGCTGTTGGAGCCAGGCAGGATATTCAGGGATGCTTAGCACTGCTTTCAGCACCATCCTAGTGAGATCCTGGAAGTACTTCCTAGGCCAGGAAAAAGTTCAGTTCTTGTGCTTTACAACTTCCCTTTGCCTTTCCAGTCCCTTTAGGAGCAATGAATATGTCTAACCAGGAAGTTCTCCTGCTAACTCATTTGACTTTTCCTGAGGTTTGCAGAGAATTTCAGCTGTGTTGGAGGAGGAGGCACTTTTGAAGGAGGTGGGAGATTCTTAATGTCTTTCCGTATTCTCTGCCCTCGGAGATGATTTACTTTTTTTTTTTTTTTTTTTTTTTTTTTTTTTTGTATTTCTGAGACAAGGTCACACTGTGCAGTTCGGGCTGGTCTTGAGCTCACCTTGTAACCCAGGCTGGTCTCAAAGTTGCAATGATCCTCCTGCCTTAGCCTCCCGAGTCCAGGGTTTACAAGCATGTGGCACCACTCCCAGCTTTTCTTTTTTTTTTTGTTATTTACTTTAATATTCAAGGTAATTATATTGAATGGGCAGTATAATCACCAAATTCAGACAGAAGCCAAGTAAAATGACATACATAGGCCAAGAATACAGCTTAGTTGTAGAGTGCTTGCTTAGCATGTGTGAGACCCTGGGTTCAATTCCCAGCACTGCAAAAATAAAAACAAACGAAAGAATCATTACACAAGAAACAGTGATGGAGGGTTTACTTCCCAAGTCAGTTATCTTTCCTTTGGCAGCATCACTGCTCTGCCTCTGCTGGTTTCTACCACAAGTATTTATGTGACTGTTATATTTCTGGAATTTACTCAGAATTTATTATAATGACCTAACTATGTCTGCCCATTTCTCTGTTTTTATTTTTATTTTTGTTTTCATTTTCCAGTACTGAGGATGAACCCAGGGCCTTTGCACTGAGCTCATCTCTACCCCCTTGTGTGTGTGTGTGTGTGTGTGTGTGTGTGTGTGTGTGTGTGTTTTGAGACAAAGTCTCACTATGCAGTTCAGGCTGGCTTTGAACTCACTTTGTAGCTGAGGCTGGCCTGGAACTCTCAGTGATCCTTTTGCCTCTGCTTCCCAAGTGCTAGGATTATAGGCATGCATCACCATGCATGGCTTTTACTTTGTATTGTGAGACAAGCTCCTACTAAGTTGCTAAGTTGCCTAGGTTAGGCTCAAACTTGTCTTTCTGCCTCAGCCTTCCAGAATCCAGGGATCCCAGGTGTGTGCCACCATGCCTGACTTGAGGCTAGTTTGTACAGGATGAGACCTTGCTTTTAGCTGACCTCTGACTTAATTTATTTTGTACTTTTATTCATATGCAACTAAGAAAGCTGTGTAGGTACACCTTATGGAGATCTTTATTCACTGTAGTCAAATTATCTCCTAGTAAAACTACTATGTCCAGTATATATGCCCTTGAAAGAGAATCTAGATGTGTGTGTGGTACCACAGTGTGCTCTAATACCTGCAGTTGTGGGGTGCATGTAGAGACTCTCCAGGTTTGAAGCACACCCTTCTTCCCCCAGTTGACTGTACCAGTTTGGGGTCCGTCTCCAGGACTCAATAAAAGGAGAGATGCCTTCCCCAGGGTGGCCACATTTCATGGCTTATCCATTGGGAGGATAAAGGCCAGGCCTTGCTTCCATCTCAGGCAGAACTAAAGGGCCTCCCAGATGTTGACCTCCCAAGGGGTTAGCCCAGGTCTTTGTATGACAACCTATCTCATTGCTTCTCCTGCAGGATCCTACTTTTTTGGCTGCCCTACAGGGTGGCTCCCCAGAGCCATCTCAGTCTATTTTCTTGCATCCATATCTGTCTCCATCACAGTATCGTTTCCACATGTTCAGGGTCTGACATGCTGAGAGGGAGGTAATGACACTGTATGTAGTAAGATTCTAGCCCCATCTGATCAGAGTAGGCTCTCAAGATCCCTACCCTGAGGACTGTAAAGCTGTCTCAGCTGCCATCTGCCTTTGACAATTGTTAGTGCATCAGGAATGGCTTTCTTGTCCTCTCTCCAGGAAGTCCTGGTTTTCCTGGGAAATTCCTTAAAGTCCCTTTATAATGTAGTCTCACCATCTCTTTTGGCAGAAGTTGATTTTCAAAGATGAGAGATGCTTGGAATGCATGAAAATGATTTTTCTCTGCAACAAAACAAAGCATTGAAATCACATTGCTGGGTGTTTAGTGCAATTCTTGAACTAGAGAAGCTAAATTCATGAGTTTACATTCCTGACCAGCAGAAAGGCCAGTGACACAAAAAGGCAGCCTTGAACTCTTAACAGTAGACTTGGACTTAAACCCTGGCAGTCTGACTGAGGTCTGCAGCAGCTTTCACCCTTTTTTGACCACCACCTGCAGTGATATGTTTTGGTACAATCCTAGGCCACACACACACTTCTATAGTTAAAGCACAGGTTTCACAGAGCAATGCTGACCTTAATGCAGGCCATGTACCCTGGCTGTGTTGGTTCTCATGTTGGTTCCTTTATTGGTTTCTTTCTATTCTTACTGACCCCCTCTCTGTCCATCCCTGCTTCCCAAGTGAAAAATAGTGCAATACTGTCTTCCAGTATCTGTTCATTTGTTCATCAAATGCTCAGTTTGAGCCTTTTCTGTGTCCATTGTGCAGGCTCAAGGGGTCCACTGGTAAATAAAGCAGACAAGGTCCTTGTCCCCATAGAGTTCACAGCCAGAAAGCTTTGCACATGAAATGCAGTTGTAAAAAATTTTGATTGCATATGAATTAAAGAGAGTTTAGAAAAAAAGCTCAAAGAGAAATCTCTTAGCTAACAAGCTAAAATTATTTGGTAAATATACAGCTATCTAGTGACCTTAATTAAAAAGACTATAGGAAAGGAGCAGTGACACTGACTGCAGCATTGACACTAATAAAATAATTAGTATATTTGGACAGTGAAATAGTAACATGCAGCAATGAAAACAGTGACCTAATGTAACACATATGAATATGGATACATCTCAGAAACAAGTTAAAAACCAGTTACAAGAGTACAGTAAGAGCCAGGTGTGGTGGTGCACACCTGTAATCCCAGCACTCAGCAGGCTGAAGCAGGAGGATCCTGACAAGTTCAAGGCCAGCCTGGGCTGCAAAGTGACTGGGCTACAAAGTGAGTTTAAGGTCAGCTGGTACTACATAGCCAGACTCTGTCTCAAACACAAAACAAAACAAAACCCAGTAAGCGTTGCATAGCACAGGACAAAAACGTATTAATCATAAACTGCAGTGTGATACAGTATGTTGCAAAACCATAATGTATCATTTGTGCAAAAGTGCTCAGATATGCAGAATAACACTGTGTATTATCATAGGCATGTGCATGTGTAGTAAAAACGGAAAAACCCTTTAGGGAATGACCATACATAAATTTCAGGATGATGCTTATTACTGTCTGAGATTAGAAAAGTTGAGGCATTAACAAATCTTATTAAAGTATAAATATTTAGCAAACATGGAAAATTTAATTATTTTAAGTCTGGGTGCATGGTTATCTCATTATTTTGAGTGGTTTTCTGTGTTAATTATTAAAATTTGTAAAAATTGAAAATTAGGGGCTGGGGATTTAGCTCAGCGGCACAGTGCTTGCCCGGCAAGCGCGAAGTCGTGAGTTCAATTCCCGGTACCGGGAAAAAGCAAAAAAAAAAATTGAAAATTGAACAGGTGATACAGCTGTTCTGTGCTACTTCTGTGTTTCTGGTGCATGCACATTTCTGTGTTCTGCACTTTCCATCACACTTACGTTTTATCCATCAAAGAACCCCTGGAATGTTGATGAGTCAGTTTTCAGGAGTGTTGTTTATATTTCACAAGCAGAGGGGGCTGGGGATTTAGCTCAGCGGCAAAGCGCTTGCCTGGCAAGCGCAAGGTCGTGAGTTCGGTTCCCGGTACCGGAAAAAAAAAACCAAAACCAAAAAAAAAAAACCAAAAAAAAAAAAAAAAAAAAAAAAAAAAAAAAAAAACAAGCAGAGGGCGCTGCTGCACAGCAAATGTGAGGTACTGGCAGCCACAGCAGGCAGCTCTCCTGCCAGTGCAACCACAGGGCCTCCAGTGGAAGCACTTTTCTATCCAACATAGGAAAGAAGGGCATTTAAATGCGTGCAGCTTTCTTTCTGTTTATAGGAAGGGCACAGAAGCCAGCCGTTTATGCAAGTTTGTTGTGCTTCTTTGAACACCCTTTGGCTGTTTCTCAGGCTGAGAATGTGAAGAATAGCACATGCCTGGAGCATCCTTTGCCTTTACATCAAGGAACCTGGCTGCTGATGTATGGGGAACTTTTTCATTGTTAAAGTAACTGTGAAACATTCCTTTTCTTCTAGATGGAAAAAGATTATTCTTACCTGAAGGAGATCTGTGATCATCAAGCAGAACAGCTGAGCAGAACCAGCCTAAAACTGCAAGAGAAAGCATCAGAGAGTGATGCAGAGATAAAAGACATGAAAGAAACTATATTTGAATTGGAGGATCAGGTGGAACAGCACCGGGCTGTCAAATTACACAACAATCAGCTCATTAGTGAGCTAGAAAGTAAGTGAAGGCACACCTGCATGAAACATGTGACAGATGTAAGAGCTAAAGGGACCGGTGGCAGTGAGTTGTTCTAAGGATGCGTGTTGGCTGGGCTTTAGGAAGAGCTTTTCTTCTGAGTGTGCTATAATATCCCAAGAAGAATGACCCTTAAGAAACAATTGTTAGGGGCTGGGGATTTAGCTCAGAGGCAAAGCGCCTGCCTGGCAAGCGCAAGGTCATGAGTTCGGTTCCTGGTACCGGAGAAAAACCAAAAAAAAAAACAAAAAAAAACAAAGAAACAATTGTTAGCCAGGCATGGTGATGCATGCCTGTAGTTCCAGCACTTAGGAGGCTAAGGCAGGAGGATCACCATGAGTTCAAGGCTAACCTGGAATACATAGCAAGTTCAAGGACAGCCTGAACTACATTGTGAGACCCTCTCTCAAAAATAACTAGAAAGAAAGAAAGAACTGCTACCTTTTAAGCTACTACTGGATGATAGAAAAGAAGGTTGATGCCAGGGGTAGTGGCTCATGCTGTAATCCCAACACTCTGGAGGCTGAGGTAGGAGGGTTGCTTTAAGTTCGAGGCCAGCTTGGGCTACAAAGTTCTAGGCCAGCCTGAGCTCCATAGTGAAACCCTGTCTCAAAAAGACAGAGAGACAGAGAGAGAGACAAAAAAAGGTTGATGACCATAAGTCAGCAGTGTGGGGGAGGGCAGTGTGAAAGAGAGCAAGTATATTTCAGCGTGTTAAGTCTGCATCATGTGACAGCCACACTGCCACCCCTGTCTGAACAGCGGGATCTACTTTGAGTTCAGCTGTGACTATGTAAGAGTTCATAGGACTTTCCCTAAAGACAGTTCCAGGGTCTGGCAGGTTATTCAGAATAGATTGTTCACTGCAGTTGTCAGGTTCGGACAGCATGTTGCTTTTGGGTTTGAGGATGGACAGATGTTTAGAGTAGAGCAACAGTGTGTCCCCTTGATCTAAAGGGAGCAAACATTTTTAGCACATGTCTCATTGATTTTCAGGACATTAGGTAACTTACAGATGTTGAACACTTTGATACTGAAGAGGCATCAGTATGACTTATTTATGAACTTACTGTTTGTTTTGCATAGGGAATGAAATTTTTGAAAGATATTAAACATTGCTTCCTTTGTTCTGATAAGCCTTATCAAATGATCACATCTAATGTATTTTGTTTCTGTAACCAAAGAACTAATGCACAGAGCTTTTAACACTAGCCATTACTAAAAATAGCTTAGTTACCTGAGCAGTTCCCTAACACCTACAGTCAGTACTCAGTATTCACAGATTCTGTATTCATATATTCACTTACTAAATTTATGTATCTCTCTCAACCAGTACCACAGCACTTTCATGATTATTTTTGGACATGCAGAAAAGTGAAAACTTTTTTGGACATGCAGAAAAGTGAAAACTTCTTTGGACATGCAGAAAAGTGAAAACGTAGAGTCATCCAGAACTTATGTTCCCAACTGGGATCAAACTGTGAGACCTCTGCCTTCTCGTCTCTATTCTGATGCTGTATACAAGTGTCCTTTTCATGGTCCATTACTGGCATGTTTTCAGTGCCTTTCTGCTTGCTTTTGGTGATTGTGCTGTTTGAAATGGCCCCCAAGTGCAATACTAAAGTGCTCTCTACTATCCTCAAGTACCAGAAAGCTATAATATACTTTAACATAGAAGTGTGTGTGTTAGGTAAGCTTAGTTCAGGCCTGTGCTGTTGGGCGTGAGCTTAGTGTTAATGAGTCAACAACACAGTACATTCAGAGAAAAGAAGAAATTCTCCAATCTGAGCATAAAGTTGCTCTGAAAAGTGCTAACGTAATGCCTATAATAAATGATGAAGCTGTAGAAAAGATGAGAAAGGGAGTAAATTTGTGAATTCATGAGATAAGGCCAATAAATTGTAGTAGACAGCATTGTTCCAATGCCAAAAGCAAAGAAATTTCACTTTTCCCAGGGTCAGGAAAATTTTAAACTTCATTGCATACTGTTAAGGCATGAGAAAAGTTAAAAATGTGGGCAAAAAAGATTCTGGAGATTAAGAGGATGTAGAAGTTTTGAGGTTGTTTTGTTTTGTTTTGCAGTTTTGAAACAGGGTCTCACTAGGCAGTTCAGGTTGGCCTTGAACTCACAATATAGCCCAGGCTGGCCTTAAACTTTCAGCTATCCTCCTGCCTCAGCCTCCTGAGTTTTGGGGTTACAGGAGTGTGCCATTACTGCTAGAAAGAAATTTTAAAATACCTGCTCAGTGTTACAAAGAAAAGGGAAGAGGAAGTTTCTCATACTGATAATACTGACTTGTTTCAGGAAGACATTGGCAAGGGCTGGGGATATAGCTCAGTGGCACAAGTGCTTGCCTGGCAAGTGCAAGGTCGTGAGTTTGATTCCCAGTACCGGGAAAAAAAAGAAAAAGACGTTGGCAAATGAATCTGTATAATGCAAATGACATTTCAGTTAATGAAAAATGTTCTGATCCTCAGAGGCTCCCAGGAACCTAACCTTGTATTTCCCATAGGAACAATTCCCTAGTTATAAAGAGTTATCAAACTAGCATGAATAATAAGAATTGACTGTGTGTTCTGTGCTTGGGTTATTTGGTTAAGTCGTTGCCAGTGCCTGTTCCCTTCTTCAGTAAGTGTGATGTGCACAACTGGAGAGCATCAGCACACTGTCGCCTAGGCCCGAGTCACGCTTGTGGATGTCATTAAAAACCCAGACACCTTTGTCAGTGTGTAATTCCCAGCATAGCACCAGCTTTGAAATAATAAAACCTTACTTTGTTTTGTTTTGTTTTGGTTTTGTTTTTGTGGTATATTTCTATTGAGAAGATGGTTGTGTTATCCTTAAATCCTTAAAAGTCAGCCCCGACCACCAAGCAAACCTTAGTGTATAATTAATGTCCAGAGCACATTTCAGGTCCACTCTCCAATGGTTATATTGTAATATATCACAGCCTGAAAATAACACAGACGATTTTTTGAGAAGCTTTTAAACTTCTGCTAGGGATACTAAGTTGTTTGTTTGTTTGTTTGTTTGTACTGGCAATTGAACTCAGGACCTCACACTTGCCAGGCAGGCAGTGTGCTGCTGAGCTACATCCCTAGCCTTTAAAGTGTTACTAAGATGTATTTGTTAGCAGAATCAAAAGACACTCAAATCTAGCTCTAGACTAATCACTTCTTCCTGAAAGGAAACAAAACAATGCAAAGAAAGGAAGGACAGTTTTCTTATTCTGTGGCATTTGACCCCAAACACAAACTCAGGCCCCATGTCCTGATGCAGAGCTGTTGGGGTAAGGCATGACTTGTGGATTTTTAAAAACCTTCTCTGGTAATTCTGACTCACATCCTTAATAAACAACTACTGCTCTAGATTAGAAAAACCATTCAGGAATTTTTACTAGATGACTGACATGATGAGATTTAAAAGTCTCTGAGAGCCATATGAAGAAAATTGGAAGCAAGGAGAATGAGGGACAAGACTTGTTTTCCATTAGGGAGAAATGGTTGAGGCCTCTGTGGAGCTGTTAGAATATGTACAGACTCACATTCCATTTGCCCTTGCAGACTATGAATCCATAGGTCCAGAGCTGTAACTTGCACTTCTGTGCTTTTCAGAAGCACCACAGCCAGTTCTGAGGTTTAACAGTGGTTAAGAGTCATGCCGCCAGACATGGGTTTTGACATCATAGGAATAATGACCAGCCATATTCAGAAGCCTTCTTTCCTCCTCAGTGAAGGACATTCAGAATGGTGGTATGTGAAGAGCAACAGAGAAACCCAGCGCAAATGAAAAGATGGCTGCTGAGGTCTTCTCCCATAGTGCTGTGTGATAATACACCTTGCTCTCTGAGGATAGAGCCTAAACAAGCACATTTATTTCCCATGTCACTCATTCCCACTTGCTTCTAGTTTCCTACCTGCAAGGTGCTAGACACTATATAGGAGAAGGGATGGGTTTTTTAAGCCTTTTGTTGTCTCTGGTGCTCCCCCTTTGCTGCTTAGCTTACCTTCTCCCACTTTACAACTCCTGTCCAAATCGTTTCCTTCTAGGGGCTGGGGATTTAGCTCAGTGGCACAGCACCTGCCTGCAAGCGCAAGGTCGTGAGTTCGGTTCCCAGTACCAGAAAAAAAACAAAAAACAAACAAATCGTTTCCTTCTAGGCAATGTGATCAAGCTGGAAGAGCAGAAATCAGACCTGGAACGGCAGCTAAAGACCCTGACGAAGCAGATAAAGGTGTGTGGGGTACAGCTGTGGGGAGTGCTCGTGTATCATTTCACTGTCCATGTTCCCATTTAAGCTCTGGAAAAATAGGAATACCACCAACTGCTCTCTCCAGCCTGCTTTCTCATGGAATATTCCCCTAGTGTGACCCCAAATATGTATTCTTGTTGTCAGGAAGTAAAAGTGAAGCAGTTGTTCAGTTTTAGGATGGAGAACTCTCATATGATGATGGAATTTCCACTTGTGCCTCTTCCTAGTAACAAGACACAGTTTAAAGTAGGGCCTCATTACTGGCATTCTTTCTGAGGGATTGACAAGGGAATGCTACAACCTTTGTATAGATGAGGCCTCAGCAGGCATTTGACACAGGTATGGCCTCTGGTATTTTCAGGAGGAGACCGAGGAATGGAGGCGGTTCCAGGCAGACCTGCAGACTGCAGTGGTGGTGGCCAATGACATCAAATGTGAGGCCCAGCAGGAGCTACGCACTGTGAAGAGGAGGTTGTTGGAGGAGGAGGAAAAGAATGCCAAGCTACAAAAGGAGCTAGGGGACATGCAGGGCCACAGCAGGTGGGTCACGGCAGGCAGAGCCGTGAGTCTAACAGGCGCCTGAACAGTGCTTGGCTTCTCACTTAACCGCTGTGCATGGGGCTGTGCTGTGGAGGGCTAGGACACTTTTATGTCTGTTGCAGGTTCTGTTACTTCTTTTCCTACTGTTTTTTGTTTTTGTTTTTGTTTTTTTTGGTACCAGGAATTGAACTCAGGGCCTCATGCTTGCCAGGCAGGCGCCGTGCCGCTGAACTATATCCCTTTTCTAGAATTAATCTAATACCTCGATCACCATTACACAACTCAGAACATTCCACTCAGGGCTCAGTCACTGCTGTTCTGTTGCATAAGGTGTTCAAAAAGTCGCTTACATGAGTAGAAAAAGTTTGGACCAGATATCCTTTTACCTTTAAAGAACAGAAGTAATATATAGAATACCCATTAAATCATAGTTCTTACTAGTACTGTGTAGGAGAATACATTCTGAAAGGCTAACTTACTTAGTTCTCCTGTAGTGAGAAAAGCTGGACTCAAAAGAAATTGCCACCAGATAAAGGGCTCATTCCTGCTGGCCTAAGGACATGCTTTCTTTTTTTTTTTTTTTTTTGAGACAGAGTCCTGTTATGCAGTTCAGGTCGGCCTTGAACTCACTTTGTAGCCCAGGCTGGTCTCGAACTCGCAACAATCCTCCTGTCTCCCGAGTGCTGGGATTACAGGCGTGCACCACCACTCCCGGCTAGGACACACTTTCCTACTGACAACCCCCGCATAACCTACTGTTTCAAAAAGTGCATGTAGAAAACAGATGTCTAACTGATGCCTGCCTTTCCCTTCTGTTGTTAGGGTGGGGGTCACACAGTGTATGAGCCCAAAGGTTCTACTACCAGTCATGTTTCAGAGGACGGTATTGCTAAGGCAAGCTCAAAGTGAATTATTTAAAATTTAAGTAGACTAAATTTTACAGAGAAGACTATAGTATAAGCAGTATTTTAAACTTTCAGTAGTATAGTATCATCTTTGCCTAGACAGGAATCTTTGCCTAGACAGGAATCAGTGTCTTTAACTTTGAAATTTTTAGATGTTAGAAAACTTTGAATTTTTAGATGGCTTTCAGATATGAAATGCAGTCTTTTGGAATCAGATTTAGTGAGTCCTGCATGTTAGTCTGTATAGCTCACCCTAATCTCTATGTTTCCTGGGTCAGAAGGGTTGTTCATTGGCTTGATACTGAGCCTTGGGATCTGATGTTCTATAAGTATGATTTCATGATATTGGGGAGAATAGATTTCTTCTCAAAATTCTGTTTTGATTTACCCATCAAATCTGCTTCAGTTAATTCCATGTTCTTTTGTTTATGACTTTTATATAACATGGACTCCAGAGAAAGATTAATGTAACCAGTTCCACAGTTCATCCTTAAAAAATCAGGATCATTAATTTACAGTCACATTTCCAGCCTCAAACCACCAAAGGGTGTAAATTTTAAACGAAGGCAGAATTGGAAGACAAGGTATCATACTACTTAATACTGAGATGATTGTGAGGTCATCCTAGTTTGCATTTGTGGTTGCTTTTGTCCACTTGTCTTGCTTCTACATTGTGTGTCTTTTGAAAAAGAACAAGTCCTATATAGTTATTTTATTTTATTTTTTTTGTTTTTGTTTTTTTGGTTTTTCTCTGGTACCGGGAACCGAACTCACGACCTTGCGCTTGCCAGGCAGGCGCTTTTGCCGCTGAGCTAAATCCCCAGCCCCTATAGTTATTTTAAAGACAAATAGTAAAGACAAGGTTTTGTATCCCTAAACAGGTTATTGTACGAGATGTTCCATTTCTTGCATAGGTTCTAAGATACAGACTTGTGCTTTAATACAGTAGGAAATCTCAGCATGGCTCCTAATAGTTTAGGGCTCCATGTGCTACATCCTACACTTTCAAATTTAGGATCACTTAAAAAACAACAACAGCATAGTGTTTCTCTTTTGATTTTCTAGGGAATTTTTAAACCTACCTGCCAAATGTAGCTGTTTAATTCCTTGTCACAAAAATCTTTTAAATTTTAGAATTGACACAAATCAGAACATGGCACATTTCTGAAAACCATTAGACATCAGAATATCTGTTGTCGAATTTGGCAGGACATCACATAATTTCTGGTGATGGTTTCTTGTCTGATTTTGCACTTCTCTGGCAAGTTACCCCACTAAAGCGTTGACTATTTGAAAATTACTTGCTGATGGCCTAGCTGCCTCCTGAACCTACCACACAAGCAAGAGTGGAAACCAACTCCCACCCTCAAAGTTCCTGCAGCAACCTAGTATTTGCATCTTGGCTGAATGAGTTCTTGACTGACACTTGATTTGACCCTTGACAGTCATCTCATAAGAACTCAAAAGTCATTCTTGGTTCAGCCACAGCCAAAGAACTTACATCACCTTCTCTGATGAGGTCTTCCGAGCACATCTGAGAGAAGGTAAGAGCATCTGAAAAGCACGTTGACGTTGCCATGGGATTAACTGGTTCATATTCTCATTCTGTGCAGATGGGCATTTGAGGGAATTGTCAGGCTGACGGCCAAATGAAGTGCCTGGGGATGAGTATACGTTCACATTTGTTACTAAGAACATAATGACCAGAACAAAGTGGGATGTTATTTAACTCATTAGTGGTATCAAACCCCATTATATTTTCAAGGATTTTAAAATAGTATTTATTTTGGGATAGAGTCTCACTGTGTTACCCAAACTGATTATAAACTCAGTTGATTCTCCTTCTTCAACAGCCCAGGTAGCAGGGGCTGCAAGCATGCACCACCATGCCCGCTGATACGTTTATTTTAAATTAAGAATAGTTGACATTATTACATTTTAGAGAACTAAAGCTATGGATCATTCTTGCTGCCATCCTGCACTGTCCCTCTCGCAGGTTTGGCTCCATCCTGTTAAATGAGGTGCTGAGTAGGTGGTGTTTCAAGGTCCCTTTAAGTCATACTGTTCCGAGACTAGTTGGTCATCTGTCCATTCTCTACTGTGAGAGTCAGAAACCCAACCCTGCCATCTATTTGGTGTAATATTTTGAGCTTCAGAGATGGACTTAATAACATCTCTGACCCTTAACTGTGGCTTGTTGGCCTGATCTTGCCCAGAAGTTTGAACAACTAGTGTGTGTATGTGTGTGTGTGTGTGTTTTAATGGGCCTGGTTGTATAAATTAATGGACAAAAGGATAATGAATAGTTCCTCAACCCTGGCTTTTCCCCATTTTGAATAAGAAGAAAGTATTGAAATGATAGCCATTCATTGAGATGGAAGCTTTATTTCAGGGGCTAGGAATGTAGCTCAGTGGTAGCATTTGCCTAGCATCTTCAAGGCCCTGGATTTAGTTCCAGCACCAGGGAAAAAAAGAAGGAATGAGTAAATGAGTGAAAGAAAGAAAAGAAAACAAAGAGCTATTAAATCTTTCTTCTGAAAAGTTGAGCCCTGGTACCCAGGGAATGTAGAGAACACACAGGCAGCTCAGTGTGATGACTCCCTGGGCCACATAGAACCTTTATATTGGAAGAGATTGATGAGCAGTACATGACACAGACTTTGCAAACAGTGACAGAGAATGGTCTGTGTATTATTTGCCTAGTTCTGAAGCATTAAATGCCAGTGGTTTTAGGGTGCCTTGCTGTGTCTATCATGTAACACCAACAGACATCCATGGAAGACATCTTAAAAAGGAAAGATCAAAGAAAACACTTCACATTTGTTCTCTCATTAGCATCCAAGATAGACTATTTCAGATTTACACATGTTTAGCCCATACCACTTAGCAGTTTTGCGTTGTTCCCACTGAAATGAGCAGCATGGTGCCCTGTCACACAGATTCTGCAGGAGCTGGCTTTTAACTCACACTTGCACATCCATGTCATGCGCTGATGTCTCTCGTGTGTGCCTGTGTGCCTTCTGTGTCGTTCTTAGAATGCTAATGTTTTCACAGCTGCTCAGCAAGTGTTCCATAACTGCTGCAAAAAGGGAAGTGTGTAAGTTGCAGATATGTATTCTTGGGTTACTAAGCTGTCTTTCCCAACTCCCTGTGATGCCGAATCTCTTGACTCTGATTGAGGAGCCAGCTCCCATAGGAATTACTAAGCAGTTTCAGAACAGACCTTGCCTTAGCACTTAATCATCAGGGCCTCTGGCATTTCATTTGGCCTTTAATGTAGAAATCCTTTTAAGCAAGCATAATCAACTCATTCACATACTATTTTTTATAGTTTATAGCTATGAATATACAATCTATAATTCTTTTTTTTTTTCTAATACTGGGGAAGGGACCCAGGACTTTATGCATGCTGAGCAAGTGCTGTACTGTTTCTACCACTAAGCTGCATCTCTGGCCCTAGTGTGTCATTCTAAAGGGCTGTGTCTTATTCTTAAGTTTTTATTTTTTGCAGTACTGTGGATTGAATCCAGGGCCTGGCACATCCTAGGCATGCTTTATACCACTGTGGTACATCCCCAGCCCCATTATTGGGTTTTTATTCTTAGGGTTTTGGGGGAGTAGAAAGTTTGGCCTGGATAGTAGAGGGAAACATAAACCTCTCTATAAATGACGGGGAGCCTATTTTCATCCTGTCCCTTACCAATACAGTTTGTTGTTGGAGAAGTTCTGGTAGAAGGAGCCTAGTAATGGCATTTTGGAGTCTTTCACGTTTTCTGTCTGGAAACCTTTAACTTCCAAAAATTTTTAATAAGAATGGAGACCTGTTAGCCCTATTCTGGATAGTAGCTTTTCCTTGTAGGACAGTACAAGTTGTTAATTCTTGTATCATAATCAAAAATCTTGTTGCCTTACATAACTCCTTTACCAGCCTTCCCTCCCATTTCTATCTTCACAGCTCCGTGGTCTCTGTCAGCTAGCAGAGCTTTTGGTGGAAGAAACACAGCCCAGCCCTTGCCATGATTGGAAACTACAGCCATTTCTATATGAAAGGGGAATCTGTAGAGGAGAAATTACTATTTTGTATAAAAGAGCCTAGTTATCTCCTATGCCATTCACTGTTCCAAGCAGTGGTACATTGCAATCAAGTCTCTTTACTTTTTTCTGCAAATCAGCTCATGCATGATCAAAGATGAACCTTCACTTTTTGTTGTTCTTGTTGTTCCTCTCAAGAAGACTCAGCAATCTCTGTTTTTGGAGAATAATACGAAGTTCTGGAAAGATAAAATATAGGTCTTGTGAAGAAATATTTCATATGTTTTTAGAGAATAGTAGCTTAGCAAACTCCAGTTGGTAGTGAATGCAGCCCATGCATAGATAGGTTCTGCTTTTTTGGTATTTATTTTCATGCTGCTTTTTTGAATATGGGACCTGGTAATCTTGGACTTGACATTACCTAAGGCAAAATACGAAGCCATCTGCGTGATGCCTTACCCTGAAGAATTTAGAAAGTTCTCCCTTATATCAAGTCTTGATTGAGCTTGTGTAAGCTGAGGTCTCACTTTATTACCTCATTTGAAACAAACTGCCACTAGCTTTGGTTTGATTTCCAGAATCTTTGTTAGGCTAAACATAAACAGATGTTTGGCTAAGAATAAAAAAAGATGTAGTTAGCCAGATGAGTATACACAGTGACAATGCTAAATGAAACCTAACTGAAACCTAATGAAGGACAACTTACAACAAAAGCCTCATGAATAAAACTTACCGTGGAAACTTAAAGACTTTTATTGCAGAAAGACACAACTCAGAGTGATCCAGAAATCAGATTGGCTTTAACTTTAGAGTAGTACATACTTTTTTGAAGATCTCTGTCTAGTCAGCAAACTACCAGTGAAAAACCTCCTGTGCTTCTCGTGGGGAGCATTTTGCAGTATACATAGCATAGGGCTGTTAGCTGTATAATAAAAAGGAAAGTTAGGATTAAGAATGCTCTTTAAACTCAGGAAGACAGCAGATTGGAGCACACAGGCTCACCAAAAATTTAGCTTGACATGAGAAAGAGACGTTGATGCCTTCTTTATAAAGATAATTAGATACTCCCTGGAATTATCCTCCTGTTCTGGGACATCTTTACCTCAGATTGAAAATTCTTAGAATGACTTAAAATGACTTGCTGGGTGTTTTCTAATCTAGACAATAAGAAAAATGCAACCTCAACTTAAAATGCACAGCTGTGTTAACCCTCATATTTTGATCTGTCTTTACTCTGGGTATTGTTGAATATTTTTATATGTAAGCATTTATGAAGTGCTAAATAAATGTTATTATTTAGAAGAGTGTGTTGTTTGGTTTTTAAACACTGGCCATGTTTCTGCAGGACTTTTTTTTTGGTACCAGGAATCAAACTCAAGACCATGCACTTGCCAGGCAGACACTTGTGCTGCTGAGCTACATCTCTAGCCCCTCTGCAGGACTTTTATGTTCTTCTCTTGTCGATTTTTCCTTGATAGTTTTAGAACTTTTTTTGGAAGGTGGTGCTGGAGATTCAACCCAAGGCCTTGTGTATGCCTTGGCAATCACTCTATCACTGGGCTACATCTCCAGCTCCTATTTTGAAAACTTTAAAGTCACATCAAATAAATAGAATTTGAAATCAAAACGTGTTAAACTTTAAATAGAAGTTATAGTGAAAAGGTTGATATGGAACATAAATGTAATTGTTTAATGATTTCATTATTAGAGTAGGAAGTATGGAATAAAAAATACTAATTTTGTAGAAAGCAAAAACTTCTAGGGTAATGGTGGTGAACCTATAGCATACATGCTGTTTTTCTGATAAGGCAGAATTCGTTAATATATAAGTTGTTTTATCTAAACTAAAACCTCAGTATTCAGGTTTAATTGAGTGTTGATACTTTGTGATAAACAAGTGGGTTGTAGGTTGCAGTTTAGGCAACATTTTAGAGATATCTAAAAGATTCGCCATCACTGCTCTAGTGTATCAGAAAACAAGAGTATATAGAATTTGAGGTCTGGGGGGCTGGGGATTTAGCTCAGCGGCACAGCACCTGCCTGGCAAGTGCAAGGTCGTGAGTTCAATTCCTGGTACCGGGAAAAAAAAAAAAAAGAATTTGAGGTCTGGAATTGTTTGGTTTAAATTTTAAAATATAGAGATTAGTAATGTAATATATTGGATTTTTCTTAATTATGAAATTTAGGTATGTGGATCACAAAATGAAGATGTATGAGGATTTACATATATAAATATATAGAAAGCACATTGTTTTATCTTTTATAAGTAAGGGAGTGTATTTTATGTGGTACTTTGCACTTTCATATTCCATTTGATGTGTCATGGATGTGCTTCCAGGTCAGTATATACAAATCTTAAGTCATTTTGACAGCTGTGGAGTATTACACAGTGTACCCAAGCATATTCATATATTACCTTAATTTTTCTTCCTTTACTGATAATGATACAGTAACAATCCATATTCATATTGCCTTATATAGTTGTGTTTTTATTCTTTTTATTTATTTAATTAGTTGGTTTTGGTGTTGAGGATTGAACCCAAGGCCCTAAGTATGCTAAGCAGACTCTTTACTACTGAGCTACACTCCTAGCCCCTTTGATTTTGTTTTTATAGGCTGAGTTCCTAAAAATATGATCATTACACTAGAGTATGCATATTTTTATTTTAATAGATGTTGCCAGATTACTTAGCTCAGGGTTGTGACACTACTCTTGATGAGAATGGCCACTTCTACCTAGCTTTAGTAGCTGTGATATATTAATCTTATTTTTGTCAGTAGCATAAGCAAAAAAATAAAATGTTATCTCATTAGCACTTAATGTGTATTTCCATGCATATATTTTTATCTGTTTAATAGCCATTTGCATTTTCTCTTATAAGAATTGCTAGTCTACAGTTGTATCACCCTGAACATGCTTGAGTCTTATAAGCATTGCTAGTTTATTAGCACCTTTGCCTATTATTTTCACAGAGCTGATTATTTTTTCTTACCAATGTGTAAGTCAGTAATATTTTACTTTTATCATGGAAATTTTTATATTGTTATATAGAATATTTATTTTTCAGAGCTGGACATTGAGGTCTTGTACATGTTAGGTAAATGCTGTACCACTGAACTATACTCCCAGCCTTATATAATGTGATCTGTTTGTATTTATTTTCCTTTACTGTTTAAGGAGCTTTTATTTTTGTTCAAGGCTTTCCCTGTCCCAGTGTTGTGAAAGCCAGTCTATTGAATATTCTTTATTTGTTTCACACACACGTGTACCTGTACACTCCCAAATATTTGATGTGCTTTGTAATATGAGATATGGTTCTTTTTCATCTAAGTAGATAGCCACTCAAACCAGCATCATGTATTACCAGTACCTTTCCATTGTTTATTCTGTATTCAGAGGGACCTTCCAAATAGACTTCTTTTTTCTTTTTAGTTCTGCATCAGAATATTTTAGTGGGATTATTACATTGCTTATATGATTTTTAAAATTTAGTCTTTCATTTTAAATTGTCATTTTTCATGTTTTTTCACTTTTATTGGGTTTAAAAGTAGGTTCTATCAAGTGTGTGTCTGTGTCATAAATTTGCAAATGTCTGTTCTCTCTTGAATGTCATTACTCTTCTCATTTTATGTTATGAGATATTTTCATAGATAAGAATTTTAAAAGTGTGTTTTTTGTTTTTGTTTTTTTGTTTGTTTTATACCAAGGCCAGCTTTTACTCATTACTGATTCTTCGTTAAATAGATCAAAGCATGTCAAGGCTGGGCATTTGTCCAAGATCAGTATCTGGATTCTGGTTAGATGTACCCACTTTACCTGTTTATGCTTCAAATTTTCTGTCTCAACTTAGTGGGAAGGTTCTTTAAGGTAAATTGAAGCTCAGATAAGAGTACAGAAGGAGTAGATGCTTAGCAGGAGCATCTTCCTGGGTCTGCTTTTCTTTTTTTTTTTTTTTTGGTGTCCGGAATTAAACTCATGACCTCAGGCTTGCCAGGCAAGCACTTATGCTGCTGAGCTACATCCCTGGCTTAAGCCCATGTTCACCTTAGGTACATCCTGTGGCTCTTCCTGACTTCTTGTTGCTTCTGCCCTTTGTGCCTGGGATGATGCATCCCTGAGCTCCTCAGATCCTTTGTAAGGATGTGCAGCATGTTCTCTGCCTTCGTTCTTCTCTCTAGATCTGGCCCTCTAAGATAGAGGGGACATTAAGGGAAGGAAACTGTTTTCCTTCCACCCTACCTTCGCACTTGCTCTGTATGTAGCAGAAATTCTTCAAAGCCGGCACCCTGTAGATGCTATCCTTCTTCTGTTTCCATTTCTGATGTAAAAATCTTTTACTCTTTCTTTGATTCTTTTTGTTGGGATTTGGAAATTAAGATGTTTATATTCAAATTGCCATCTTACCATGTTAGTATCGATAGTCTAGTATTGAAATTTGAAAGTGAGATTCAGAAGATAGTTTGACACCTAAGAGGCAGAATATTTCATATTTTTTCACAAACTTTTAGATTTATTTTGTGTAAAACAATAAAAAATTCTGAGAAAATTATATTCCTGGTAAGGGTATAGAATGAGCAATGGCACAGAGACAGGATATAAAAGAACAAAATTCAGTAGCTCAATGGGCTTCCTTTGAAGGAAATCAAAGGAAGTAACCTGAATGACACTGGGTGAGACCTGGAGCTGGGCTTCATTCAGTTGTTCAAGAGCCCAACAGTTGTAAACATAGGGTTGACCAGTCCTCTTTACACATAAAAATCTACCAATTATGAAGGGTAGCAGGGATACAGTGAGATATTTCCTAAGTGGAGATAACCAGTGAATACTTTAAAAATCATCATGTACAAGAGCCTACCTGTACTTGGATCAAAATAGGTGATGATAACATTAAGTATCACTTCCCCCTCCCCTGCCCAGCTCCTGTACTGAATATTGAACCTAGGGCTTCTCAGATGCAAGTGTTCTATCGTTGACCTATACCCTAGTGCCTCCCACCCTTGCTTCGAGACATGGTCTTGCTAAACTGTCCAGGCTGTCCTTCAACTTGTGATCCTCCTACCTCAGCCTTCCCAGTAGCTAAGATTATAGGCATATGGCACCATTGGCCAAGCACAAATGGTGAAGTGAATACTGTGGAAAATCAACACCACTTGAAGACTCTATAACCAAAAATGAAAGCAATGTGTTAAATGAAAACTTTAGAGGAAAAAATAATATACATAGGCATATGTACATATACATGTTTAAATTATAAGACCTAATTTCCTTATACTGACTTACTGTTCTAGCCAAGCAACTGACTGATAATTGAAATACTACCTTTGGATATCTGAAGGCAGGAGTCCTGGAAATTGATTTTTGTAGGCTTGCTATTTTCTTGTGAAGTTTAAATTAGTCTTCCTGTTTATTAGTTAATGTTTTGAGTCACAGAGAAACATAAATAACTAAAAGGAATACCTGAACATGTAGGATCCTCTGTTACTAAATTAACTAGGGATAAAATTAAAATTAATTTCTAAAAATTATCTTCCTTGGAGGTTCTTTGGTACCAAGTCATTTAGTGAGGCAGATACAAAGGTGGTCTGCTTTCTTTGTTGATGACTTTCCTGAAAATAGCTGGGACAGAAACAGATATTTTTTTCCATTTGGACTTGACTTCATTTCATTATTTTTCTACATATTTATCATCTGTTTTTTTAAATTGAGATACGGGTCTCACTGTGTGGCGTAGGCTGGCACTGAGCTCCTGGGCTCCAGTGATCTCTCAGCTTCCCAAGTAGCTGGGACTACAGATTGTATCATTGCACCCAGCTCACTTTCTGAATCTGTACTGTGCAGTACAAGGGAGGGGAGAGGACAGAGCCCAACTCCTGCCAATAAGCCTTCAACAAATTTTTTTTAAAACTCAGCCACCTAGTTTCTGAAGTGCCTTACAGTTTCTTCTAATTTTTTAATTTGCTGATTTTTTTCCACTCAGAAGAAAGTGGAGTCAAGAATGTAAAGCTATTTTATTTTAAATTCTGCTTTATTTAAATTTATTCTGTCCATGTTGATTACAGAGCAACAGAAGCTAAGAGAATTAAGGGCAAATGGATTCAACTGTAGAAGCTCATGAATAGCTAGATTAATTTCAAAAAGATCAGGAAATAAATATTTTAAACTTCCACTGACCTTACTGAAATAACTGCCAGAAATACTCTATTTGAGCTCCTCTCATAAATTAGTCATTTTCCAAAACAGCTGTGGCAATATGATATAATAAAAAGAACAGTTACTTAGCAGTCAAAAGATTGGGAGTTCT